TAAAATGAAATCAATCAAATATTTTCAACTATTACTCGATAGTTTTACTCGTAAAAATTTATTGTGTTTTTTTTTCTTTCTTTATTTATTTATTTATTTATATAAAAGATGTTAGAAGTAGGTAAAGAGTATTACATTCTTGGGTAAGGTTCATTCGATGAAAAGAAAAGAAAAGAAAAGAAAAGAAAAGGGTTTGTTAATGGACGACACGAAACAATCAAAGGAAACAAGTGTTTAGATTTTGTCGGGTCTTCAAATGTTTGTCACATTGTTTACACTACGTGTTTTAAAGTGAATCCTTCTTCCCTTTTTTTCTGAATGATATTTCTTTTTTTTTTTGTTTTTCAATCTACGATCCTATACAACACGAACGATAGATAGTTCGAGTAAATTTGATAACGTAGAGTTTGTTCCATTTTTTTTTTGTATTTTCAATGATTTTTTCCTCATCTTGATATTTATTTTATTTATTATCGTTTCGTTTAAAATAGGAAAGGAAATGGTGGATTACATTGCCGATTATTTTAAAAATATTCGTTCGAGACGAGTATATCCGTCAGTATCACCGGGTTATTTGAGAAACGTTTTACCAACATCGGCACCGTTAGATGGTGAACCATGGGACGATATTTTTGCCGATATCGAAAGATGCATCATGCCGGGTGTTACACATTGGCAAAGTCCTCAAATGCACGCTTATTTTCCTGCACTTAATTCGCCAGCTAGTTTGTTGGGTGACATGTTGGCTGATGCCATCAATTGTCTTGGATTTACTTGGGTAAGAATTAAAATAATTGTATTTTCATTTACTATTATCTCAAAAATACTTTAATAGTATTTTGAAATATTTTATTATAGAAACAATAATTCAATGAACGATTCTTTATTGTGATATATTTATTATTTTATTTATCAATATTAATAATATTTTTGTAATATAAATTTTATCAATGCTATTTAATGTGTGAACGGTAAATGTTAATTAATATAAATAACATTTAAATATTTTAAAATCAATTATATTATTTATTTAATATAATCTTGTAAATTTGTATTTAATCATTATGCATATTTCATATATCAATGATCAATTGATTTATTTATGCAACTATCTTTTATTGCAACTCACTGATATTTGTACTGTTCCTGAATACGTGTTATATAATTGTGTTTATGGAGATAATTTAATATTATAATTAAACGCGATACCATTTTTCTTATTAATTATTGTACAAAATGTTCTCTTTACTGTTCTTCGTTCATTAATATTATTTAAATAATTTCATTTACAGGCATCTAGTCCGGTTTGCACGGAATTGGAAATGATCATGATGAATTGGCTCGCAAAGATGATAGGTTTACCTGAACAATTTTTACATAGGCCTGGAATAAACGATGGCGGTGGTGTCATACAAACAACAGCATCAGATTCAACCCTTGTTTCCTTACTCGCTGCGAGAACTCGTGCTATCAGAGATGTACAAGAAAGTGAACCTAATCGGAGTGCAGCAGAAATCAATTCGCGTCTCGTCGCATATTGTTCCGATCAGGTTTTTTAATTTTCAATTTTTGTTTTCTGTTTATACACGTCATATCCTTAAACAATTATCCTTCTTCTTTCTATTTGTATTTATTACCATTGACAAAAGAAAATTTCACGCGAATTCACATATACAATAATAATTAATAAAATAATATGAATGAATAAAAATAAATAAGGAATAAAATTTCTAACCGAAATATAAATTGAATACAATTAATTGTAGTGACTTTTAATTAGTTATTTGTTATTATTTAATAAGGCACACTCAAGCGTGGAAAAAGCTGGACTTATCGGATTAGTAAAAATGCGATACATCGAATCGGATCAAGATTTTTGTATGAGAGGAGAAGCACTTGACGAAGCTTTGATCCGTGACCGTGCCGATGGTTTGCTTCCATTTTTCGTGAGTATTCACATTTTCATAAATATTTATTTATATAATTATTCCATGAACAAAAAACAACAACAACAACAACAACAATGTATATATAAAAAAGAAATGGAAAGTAAATTTTCCAAATTAAAAATTCAATTCTCTTATCTTACACACACTGATGCACAACTTACGTTTTATATTTATTATGAAAAATAATATTGGCGAATAATAAAAGAAAAATTCGAAAAGAAGAATAATAAATTTCAACAAGATTTAAGATAAAAAATTGTAAGTAGTTACGGAACGATATAAGGCAAACCACTGCCAATTAACCTTCTCCAAAGTTTAAGTAGTCATGTCGTTGCTATAGTCCGACGGTCGACGCAACAATTCGGATCGACGTTTCACTAATTGGTCCCTTAGGGCGAACACCATCCGATTATCTTTTCTTAACTTACAAGTATTTACTTATTACCCTTTATTTCCAACAAATTGAAATTTAACGATGTTATCTATAAATATAATATACATATATATATAATATTTTATTTATATTGCAAAAATATAATCACGAATATTTTTCATGCACCATGATAAATCAAATTGTATCATTATAACGATTAATACAAATACCATGAATTTTTTTTCAAAATTAAAAACCGAATAACTCAATTATTATATTCACATATATTAAATAATTTCAATTATTCGCACACAAACCACTGTTAGATAATTTTTCTTTTATATTTCATTTTATTTAGATATTATAATATAATAAAATAAATTTGACATTTTGATCAACGATATATAACAGGTATGCGCAACATTGGGTACAACAGGTGCATGTTCATTCGACAATCTTATGGAAATTGGTCCGATATGTGAGTGATATTGAAATATATTTGAAAAAAACATTGATTTATATTATATTTATTTACAATTAAATTGGATTAATCATTATCGACATATATCGGATTGTTCGATTTGTTCTAGGCGTTAAAAATGGTTTATGGTTGCACATCGATGCTGCATACGCTGGAAGTGCATTTGTTTGTCCTGAATATCGTGGTTGGCTTCAAGGAATCGAATATGCCGATTCTTTTGCATTCAATCCGAGCAAATGGTTGATGGTTCATTTCGATTGTACTGCTATGTGGTAAGAGAAACTTTTTTCATACATATATAAATTTATTTACATATTTTTCCGTACAATTGTTTTTTAGTACAAAATTTACGCGTGTTAAAATTTCATTGAATTTATTCGACATCGATTAAAACAAACAAAAAAAACATTGAAAATTAATACGAACACAATCGTCGCAAGAGAGAGAGAGAGAGAGAGAGAAAAAAGATTTATAAAAGAAAAAAAAAACAAACCTAATCGTAATTATCATAATTTTTCTCGCCATTCCAGTTTCTATTTCTCTCTTCACGTAGATTTTATTGCGGAAACTAGGCCTCACTTTTTTCTTTTTTTTTTTTTTATTTCTCTTTCATTCTTTCCGCAATATCCGCCTTTAGACGTTCCAACAACGATTTTCTAGTTATCCATGGATTGTGAACAAT